AATCAATGGAATGAAACCTGGTTTTATTGAAAAACTAGTAAAATCCATATAGCTGGGGAAATATTAGCAAAAAAAAAAAAAAGGACGTGAATTATCAGTGTAAATGGAGAATGAATAACACTGTAGATCTCACAAATCCAAAAGGAAAATAAGGGCCTGTTAGGAATGACTTTATTCCTATACATAGCTGACAGGTGAGTTGAGCATTTTTTTTTCCCCAAAAAAACCAAACTATTAAAGTTCATTTAAGAAAAGTATGGACATCAGAAGAGGGAGAAAACAGGGAACAGGACAGGAGCCTACCACAGAGGGCCTCTGAAAGGCTCTATCCTGCAGGGTAGATGCTGAGACTCATAGCCAAACTTTGGGCAGAGTGCAGGGAATCTTATGAAAGAAGTAGGAAATAGTAAGACCAGGAGAGGACCAGAGCTCCACAAGGATAGAAACTGATCCAAAAAGTCTGGGCACAGGGGTCTTTTCTGAAAATGATACTCCAGCCAAGGACTACTCATGGAGATGGCCTGGAACCCCTGCACAGATGTAGTCCATGGCAGTTCAGTGTCCAAGTGGATTCCGTAGTAATGGGGACAGGGACTGTCTCTGACAGGAACTGATTGGCCTGCTCTTTGATCACCTCTCCCTGAGCAGGGAGGAGCCTTACCAGGCCACAGAGGAAGATGATGCAGCCAGTCCTGATGAGAACTGATACACTAGGATCAGAGGGAAGGGGAGGAGGACCTCCTTTATCAGTGGACTGGGAGAGGGACAGGGGTAGGGTAGATGGAGGATGGGATGGGGAGGAGAGGAGGGAGGGAGGTACAGGGGGGAATATAAAGTGAATAAACTGTAACTAATAAAAATATTTTAAAAAAAGAAACAGATGAAGTGAATCACTTAGGAAAGTGAAATCATACTTATTGAAAGCTGGGTAGATGCTGCAACATCTTTTCTACAAAAGCTTTTGTAAGAAAAATAGCTAACAAGACTCATAGGTTAACTATTAAATGATCAGTTAAAATAACTAGTAATGAAATAAGTTGTAAGTTATATTTAAAATTCAATTTGTGATACTGGGCCTGGTGGCATTCACCTTTGATGCCAGCACTCAGGAGGCAGAGATCTGCAGTTATCCGTGATTTCAAGGCCAGCCTGGTCTACAATGTGAGTTCCAAGACAGTGGCTTTTCACAGAGAAACACTGTCCTGAAAAATCTGAGCACCATAGGAGAGCTGGCCCTGGGTCCTGAGAACAGGAGAGCTGACCCCACTCCTAGCCAGCTGCTGTACTCAGGGAGTGCCCCACACTTTGTGGGAGAGCTGGCCTTGAGGATACAAGCAGGAGACTAATCCTTCTGATCATCTTCTGTGTGGTGGCATTGGTGAGGGAGAAATCGCCTCCTCCCATTTGCCCTCACCACTGGCATCAGGTGGGAGAATTGGCCACTATGAGGTAATGAAAGCGGGAGAGCTATCCCTGCCCCTCACCTGCTGCAGAACTCAGAAGGTCTGGCACCTCACCTGGGCAGCACAGAAGAGCTAGCGCAGGATGTGGAGCTTGCTGGTAAGCCATCCCTTATGGGTTGGAGGCAGAAGAGCCGGCCTTGTCTCTTGTTTGCCGGACCGGTGGCCTGAACGAGGGAGAGACACCCTCTTCCCCACCATATTCCATTACCATCTATGGCAGGAAGGAGAGATGGCCCTGGGTCATGGGCTCAGATTAGATGGGCTGGACTCTGTCTCAGAGTATTTATTATACAGAGTTGAACAGAGAGGTGAGGTTATTGCTTACAGCTTAATGAGGGTGTGTGACTCTTCCATACAGGTGAGAAAGGAAACAAGGTTTACAGCATAGAGGAAAACAAGTTTAGCTCAGTCTCTTTGGAAGCAGTCTGTGTAGGTGAGGAGTCTTCAGGCAGTAAATATCTGGAGTAGAAGCTGTGGTACAGGATTGGGGGTGGAGAAGAAAGCTAAGGTGGACATTTTCTGCAGATAACAGTCAATGACCACACACAGATCGGAGGAAGGCTTTGCCATTTCATGCTGTGTCTTACTATGGAAGGAAGGCTTTCCCATTTCTCTGTGGGTCTGAGGCTCTTGACTTGGCATGCCCACGTTAACAGCATGCATTCACTCATGACTTCACTTACTCTGGGCTTTCTCTGCTCCGTATGCTATTTCATTTTGTTTTAATGTCTGAATAAAACCTCACGTCGTATTTGATGGACATATAGGCTGGTTCTGCTTCTTAAGCATTGTGAATAGTGCAGCAGTAAACATGGATGTACAGGTATCTGTGATTTTTGACTTAGCATCCTTCGGGGCTGAGTCCCACAACCGTTCTATTTTAAATTTTGTGGGGGCCTTCCACAGTGACTTTCACAGCAGCTGTTATGCATCCCCCCCAAGTATATGGCCTTTTTTTCTATTCATCCTCAACAACATTTGTTTTTATTTCATTTTTTCTTTATGAGCATCATTCTGACTGTGCTGAGATGGATCTCAAAGAAATTATATTATATTTTGTTTTTTAGCTCCATTCATTTTTTTCTCCATTAATTTATTCATTTATACTTTTGGTTGTGAGCCTAGTCTTTAATGGCTGAGCCATCCCTCCAGATGAGGGAGGGGCTAAAATCGGGATACAAAGTGAATAAATTGTAAAAAGCAATAAAATAAAAAAAATTTAATGTAAAAAAAATCAAAGAAACTTAAAAATATTTAATTGCCTTATAGCCAAATCGCAGCCCCTCCGTCTTCTCCTTCCAGACCCATGCTCATGCCTTCTTCCTGGATGCTTCTATTCTCTTCTCATGAGTGGAGATTCCTCCTCCCCTTGGGTACAAACATACTGTGTTACATCAAGTCACAGCAGGACTAAGTACATCCTCTCCCACTGAGGCCAGACAAAGCAGCCCACCTAGGGAAAAGAGATCCAAAAGCAGAAAACAGAGTGAGAGATAGTCCCTACTCCCATTGTTAAGGGCCCCACATGGAGACCAAACTATACATCTGCTACATATGTGTAGGAAAACTATGTCCAGCCCATGCATGCTCTTTGGGTGGTGGTTCAGTCTCCATGAGCCTCCATGGGCCCTACTCTGTAGGTCTTCTTGTAGTGTCCTTGACACCTCAGACTCCAGCAAAACATCCTCCCCCTCTTATGGATGTGGGTCTGCGCATGTTTCCACCAGCTGCTGGATGAAGCCTCTCAGAAGGCAGTAAAGCAAGACTCCTGTCTACGCATAGCAGAGTATCATCAATAGTGTCGGGGTCTGGTTCTCTCTCATAGGGTGGGTCTCAAGTTGGACCAGCCATTGGTTTGTCATTCCCTCAAAATGCTCTATCTTTATTCCTACACTTCTTGTAGGCAGCACAAAGGTTTTATGGGTAGGTTAGTGTCCCCCTTTCTCCATTCCAAGTCCCACCACCGGGAATGGTGACTTCAGCTCCATATCCCCCATCGGTAGGTGTCTCGGCTAGGATTGCCCCTATAGACTTCAGGGAACACCCCCTGTCCCAGAGATCCCCCTACCACTGATTTTCATTCCCTCTGCTGCCTCCCACCACATGTCCCCACACCTGCTCCCCACCAAGTTACCCGCTCTATTCCCTGTTCCACCCAGCTTCCTCTTTCCATCTACTGCAGATGTCTATTTTATTTCCCCTCCTGAGGCAAGCATCCTCCTTTTGGGCCTTCCTTGTTAGTTATCTTCTTTGGGTCAGAAGATTGTACAGTTGTTGGTTGTCCTGTACTTTATGGCTAATATCCACTTATTAATGAGTACATGCCATGTTTATCTTTGTGAGTTTGGGTTACCTTGCTTAGAATTATCTTTTCTACTTTCATTTCTCTCTCTCTTTTTCGCTGTGTGTGTGTTTGAATTTTCTTAGCTGTTTCTAAAAGCTTTCGATAAGTTTTGTTTTCAGTATATTTGACTCTAGATCTTTAAATTTTTCTTCCTCGACTCTTTTAACAACCCATTGGTCCTTCAATAGTATATTGTGCAGTCTCCATATATCTCTGTTATTTTTTACAGTTAACTTTACTCTTGAATTTTGAGTTATTATCCTGTGATCTTATGAGATTTAAGAAATTATTTGCCTATTGTTTAGTTCTTTTGTATTTTTAAAGATGTTTTGTGACCTAAAAGATGGTCCCTTTTGGAAAAATCTGTATCAATTGATGAGAATAATGTGAATTTTCTTCCTGGTGGATGGAATATTTTGCAGCATTCTGTTAGTCTTCTTTATCTATCATTTAGTTTAACACTGAAATCTTCATTTGGTAGAGTACCTAAAGATGAGAGTGCAGTATTAACGTTAAGACTACTGATATATCAATAATTATTAGATATTTTATGAACATTAGTGTTTGCTTTGTTATTGGGAGCTCAACATTTGTTGTCTTTATATTTATAGTTGTTATTCTTATTGGATGGATTTTTCTATTTATTATTTTTTTAACTTTTATTAATTACACTTTATTTGCTTTGTATCCCCCCATAAGCCCCTCCCTCCTCCCCTCCCAATCCCACCCTCCCTTCCCCTTCTTCACGCATGTCCCTCCCCAAGTCCACTGATAGGGAGGTCCTCCTCTCCTTCTTTCTGATCTTAGTCTATCAGATCTCATCAGGATTGGCTGCATTTCTATTTATTATTATATAATAATTTTCTTTGCCTTTTCTAATTTGGCTTGAAGTCTACTTTATTATATATTGTAATAGATATGGAAGTAATTTTTTCTTTAATCTACTTTCTATATACTTTTTTTTCTTTGAAGAAGGTATTGTATTTATGTTAGTTTGCTTTAGGGTGAGTTCCAGAATCTTTTATTCAGAAGTTTTCAATGGCAGTCATATTAAATATTGTCATAAACTTCCAAATGTCTTTACCTATATTTAGGGAAAAATTACCAATCCTTTGGGAATTTAAAATGTGAATGAGCTTATGATATTTATGTATATGTCAATTTGGTTAACTACTGAACAATAACCTACAACTATGGCAGAAATAGGTAAGATTGGATATTAGATATCACTTAATTAGATAGTAAAGCCATTTAATAGGTTTTAATTATTCTATTTATTTCCTTATTATGGTCTATTCATTATGGCAACCATTAACTACATATGGATATTGGACAATAAAATGTGGCTAATGTGAAAATGGAAACGACTTTATTTTTATCTTATTTATGCTGGTTTAAATTTAAAACTATTAATAGATTCAATGGCTGGAAACTTTTAAATATGAAATTTAAGTACAGATTACGTATCTCCAGTGACATTTATGTTCAAATCAGGAAGTGGTTAATTTTAAAATAGTCATTGTAGAGCTAAGAATTAGTACAATGTATTTTATTAATAGTGCATTATAGGAGTTACGTGATGATATGATACCTTGTTTGTTCTGTTCTATATAAAATGTTCAAGATGCATTCTGAGCATGAACAATTGGAAGGGTAAAATGGTATGTGTGACTGTCACTGAATTTGTAGAGAGTCATGCCACTCCAAGGTCTGGAGCAGTTACTTCTGCTTCAATTTTACTGAATACTTTACTGTGTGGAAAAATAAGAGAAATGTTCAAAAGTTGAAAAATAATAGTTTTTAGTAGATTTTACAAAATTTGGATTTACAGTTAAGTAATGAGAACTAGCAATTTTTTGGTTGGAGAAAGAAGTGTTCATTCTGACCACATAGAACAATTGAGAATGGAAATGAAGTGTCTCGTGATCTTCTACTCAATGAATATCTGAGGGCAACCAGCATCTATCAAAATTGGGGAACAGGACTAAGTATTGCTTGCTTTTGGCTCTTATTCTCAGAATTCCTCACTTACATCAATAGAAAGAGATAAATGGAACCTTTCCCTGAACCCTAATCTCCCTTATTCATTCCCCAGAGAATATCAGATGGCTTTTTGGAATATAATAATTAAAGAAGTTATATTTCAAAAAAATCTCCTTACCTCAATTTGGGGGAAAGATAAAGATGTGGGCTTCTGTTTGTACTAGACATTTCGAATATAATAAAAGTCTTCTTTAGCCAATGTGTGTCACAGATGGCCTTGTCATGTCCACTGGCCACCCCACCCTTTGTCCCTGTTGTTAAAAGTGATAGCAAAAGGGGAGGGACATATTGCCAGGCATACATACCCAGAGTGGGTTTCTTTATTTCTTTAAGATTTCTAATTCAAATGAAAAGCTGTATGTGAAAAAGATTTTTCTGTTACATCTTTAATCACTTTATTCTTTGATGTTAAAGTGAAGGAAAATATACGAGTATATTTACAAGTTGCTATGTGAGCAGTTATGTGAAATTTATGCTGTGTAATGGATTATGGAAAGTAGCTTTGAACAAACTAAATGCCCATTTCATTTGATCAAAGTATGTTTTCACAAATCCAATAATTATGCAATGTACTATTTTTTATAAAGTTTTTCAAAGTATGGTAAACAAGCACGAGGCACTCCTCATTTGCACAGGAAAATGGACTTATAGGCTAAGGGTGATTTATGTACTGAAGTAATTTAAATTCCATACTTCCAAAGTCACATTGCATATGTTACATGGCTATAATTATGCTCCTCCGGGTGTGCAAGCCAAGAAGGTGGCAGAGTCAGACACAAAGAAAGAAAGGAGATTGATGATATGGTATTTTGCTAATACAATGCAAAGGCACTAACAGATTATGAGCCTCATTCTTGCCATTCCTCCTAGTTCTTTCTAAATTACATTTTCAAGCTGATGTCTTCACTTATCTGTCATTTTCTGCAACTGCTGTCATTCTGCTGTATCAGAAAAAGATTGAGAAATGATAAACAAAATATTTCCAATATATAATTCAAAGTCTTTTAGATTAAGGATGAAAGTCTCTCTTCTTCCTTTCACTACCACCTCATACATGTGCTTCATTAGATGTCAGATACATATGATTAAGTGTCAAATAATTTTCTCTGTTCTAATTTGAAGACATTTAGAGTAGGAGAGCTGTTTTACCAGAACCACGAGAACGTGCTGGTGTCCTGTAGGAAGTTCAGCAAAAGGCAGACAGTTCGTTAGAGGAGACTATCACTTACTGTTATAGTTCTTAAATTACAGATTTTTATATGTTGTTGTCTTAAAATGGGTGCTGCAGATTTTTTTTTTTTTTTTTTTTTTTTTTTTTTTTTTTTTTTTTTTTTGCAAAAAAAAAATCTGGTGGGAGAATTTTCCTGTTTCTAGGCATTTCTCACTTTCTTGTTGGGGATACTTTAGACAGACATCATATTCTTATAAATATGAGTACAATGTTCGTTATTAAATTATACATCCTAATTCCTGTCTGATGGTAGATCAGCCATGATGTTCAATAGTTATCTCTTTCAGGTTGACTCCACTGTATGCTCTATGATTTCTATTCTCCGTTTTAAAGGCACTCTACTCAATTGTAAGTTTTAGGCACTTGCTTCTATGCTTTTGTTCCTACTCTGAAGAAAAATGTCATTTCATCAATACAAATATGCCATGTCACAGTATGCACATTCAAAAAGAGAAATGCTACATTTTGCATTTCTTTCAGTAGGGAAACTACCTTTTGATACTATTTTTAATGTCAGTTTGACTGTGGCTTATTTTTTTAAGCTCTATTCTGTGATTTCAGATAATGTTTCCTATCGTGTATTTTTATACATTTGACAGCACAACTAAACAATGAGACTATGCATGGGGAAAATATCGAAGGCCAATGTGAAAAATCGAAAGGATAGTGACAAATCATAAAACGGAAATTTTCCTCATGTTACTCAAAAAGGAAGATTCTTTAGAATATTCTAGTATTCTTTAGTGTGTTTTTACTACTCTAAATAAATGCATGGCTTAGAGCAACTGGTAAGGGAAGATACATATTTTGGTGATGGTTTTGGATCCAGGTCATCCAAGAGGTTCACACCAATATCATCTTGTCCTTTCGTTAGGCAGCTTGCTCGGAAACTCACACTAGCAAACAAGAATACACAGAAAACACAAAACCAACTCATACAAGAATAAACCTATTTCTGCAAAAGGCCAATTATCCCCTTTAAAAACATAATGACCTCTTAAAAGTCCTATCACTTCTCAGCAGTGTTCTAGTGGATTACAATTTCTTAATGAGTCTTGATGAGAAAAAAAAAAAACCCTCTAACTCATAATAGATGGACCTGTGAATAGTGTTTGCATTATTTGCCCGAAATGCTGTGGTTGGGTGTCATTTGACTATCAAAATTCAAATCTCTTCAAGTGACATTCCAGGAAATACAATAAGTTTATCCAGATTTTTTTATAAAACAACTTTCCTTTTTCATGTTTTCATGGCTATTCTTCTGATCAGAATTTTTAAAGAAAATGAAAATCAAACCCACTAATATATTCAAGGGTAAAGCATTAATCTTTTTTCCTGTTGCTCTGACAAGTTACTTGGTAAAAAACAACTTAAGAAAGGAAGGGTTACTTTTGCTTTATAGTTTGAGCATCCGGTTCAACGCGGTGGGGAAGGCCTGGTGATGAGAGCAATTATGCTCCACAAAAGGACCAAAAGAGCCAACTAATCAGAGCCCAGAGAGCTTATGGACACTGAACCACCCATCTAAGGATCAAGCATGGACTGGACCTAGGCCCCCTCCAGAGACGTAGCCAATGGGTAGTTCTGAGTTCCCTCTGGGTTCCCTAGTAAGGGGAAGTGGACGCTATCTCAACATGGACTCTAGTGCCTGCTTTTTTATTACTCCCCCCCAGCCCCCGTGGGGCTGCCTCACCAGACCACAGGGGAAGAGGATGCACTCAGTCCTGATGCAACTTGATGAGCTGGGGTGGGTTGGGAGGGAGAGACTCTCCTTTTCTGAGGAATAAGGGAGGGAGAGGGGAAAGAGAGAGAGAGGGTAGACCTGGGAGGAGAGTGGGGACTGGGCTACAGTCCGGATGTAAAGTGAATAAATAAATTAATCAATTAAAAAATAAAATGCTAGTTTTCCTTTTAAAAAGAAAGTGATTTGCAAAGAAAAATAATTGATATCAGTAAGAACCATGGGCATCAACAGAGTGATATACATTATTATATACATTATTGTGTTCCTTCAGATTCTATCCAAGGGCTATATTTTAGACTTATGATTAACTTTTGATTTATTTTGTATAGACATGTTGGTTCTACAAGTACTGGCTGTAGTTATAGAGATGGCCAATAATCCAAACACTACATTAAAATGATAGATGATAGATAGATAAGCATGCTATTACTCAACTCTACTATAAATACTCAAAGATAATTATTATTTTCAAATATCAGCAATGTTGAAGTTAAAATCATTTCCAAGTATTTGATTACTTTTTAACATGGTTATTCTAAATTCATTATATTCAAGACATGCCTATAGTCAAAGTGCTTGCAAACAGAGGCAGAAGGATCACGACATTGAGGCTAGATTGAGATACATAATGATGTCTGGTCTCAGATGCTTGCAGACATAAGGCAAACTAACTGTCCTCTGAGAAGCTCTACCCAGCAGCAGATCAAAGCAGATGCGGAGACACACAGCAAAATATTAGATGGAGACCTGGGAATCTTAGAGAACAGCTGGGGGAAGGATAGAGGCATCGAAGGAACAAGAACTCCACAAGAAGACCAATAGAGTCACCTAACCTAGGCCCATAAGGGCTCATAGAGACTAAGCTGCCAACCTAAGAGAATGCATGGAATGGACCTAGGCCCCCTACAATTAAGGAGCCGATGACCAGCTCAGTCTTCTTGTGGGTCCCTTAGCAACTGGAGCAGAGGCTGTCACTGACATGAATACAGTTGCCTATTGTTGGATCACTTTCCCCTCAATGTTACATGGCTTAACAATTATGTAGCAGTTTTTTTAGCTTGAACATTTTTTATGTTAAAAATATCTATGTAATTTTTATTTTTATGTAAGTAACAAATTAAATTATTTTAACAGCTAGTAATTGTTCAGTCTACAAATATTTATTATCTGTATAAATTATAGTATTAA